TCTCTCTCTGTGAAATAAATAAATAAAATCTTAAAATAAAGAAAGCAAAACAAAACATAAATCAGGATCCCATGTTGGAACATATACTATAAAAGGTAATGAGAAGGTAGGAGGCAATATGGACCCAGTTGACACCTGGGTTTAATAAGAATGAGTGAGCCAAAGAAAGAACTAAGGGGAAAAAAACTTCAAGTAGAAGAAACAGCAAATACAAAAAGCCCAGGTATGAGTAAAGGCTTATGAGAAAGGAGGCCTTGATAGCTAGGTCAAAGTGAGCATGGGTAAGAGCAGTAAAAGATGAAATATGGAAAGGCAGGCAGGGAAACCTGAGGCGATCCCCTGATGCTAAGGCTATCTAAATAAACGCCCACCCTAATTCCAACTGTTTTGTTTATCTGGGATTATCAAGGACCTAGTGTAGTCTACCTAGTACAGAGTAGATATTCAATAAATGTGTTGAACAAATTGTTGTTAAAAGCACTAATCAGGCTAAAGTTCTCACAAATAACAAATTTAGAACCAGGATTCAAACAAGGTATTCTGACTTCAAAGTACATGCTCTGAACCACTACATTATACCATCTCTTGAAATTTCCTCACCTATTCCTAGACACCAAGGGTTGGTATCTGTCACTATGCACAAAGAACCTTCTCCATACCTCTCCTCCATCAAAAGCTATCTGTCTTCCCCCAAGACATTTTTCTTAGATAACTGATAAACAGTTAACCTGGCCTTTAACTCTAAATCAGCATGTTAATGAATACTAATAGTTGCTCAATTCAAATAAGATGTCCATTTTTAAGAGGTTTTCTCTAGCCCAAGAGAATGTAAAATATTCTGCCAGGCTAACAAAAAAAAAAACTATCAGTTTACCAAATGTAATTTTGTGACCTCTTCAAAACACAGTCCAGAATTTCTCATTCTACTCAGAATTAAGACATCTCTCATTACTAGCATCAAACCCTTCCTCTAAGGGCCTTAGGAATAATTTTAAAAGTTTGCCTAATGCTACCTTATTGGGTTGAACATTTCTTTGAACTTCAATGAAAATGCTTATTAAATTTTCACACAAACACAAAAATCTGAGAATACAAAGCCAACACTTTAAAATATTTCAACAGGCAGGTAATGATATTTATTTTTTAAGATTTTACTTATTTGTCAGAGAGAGCACACACATGCGCATGCACAAGCAAGAGGAACAGCAAGCAGGGGGAGAAGCAGGCTCCACTGAGCAAGGAGTCTGATGCGGGACTTGGATCATGACCTGAGCCAAAGGCAGACAACCTATTGAGCCACCCAGGCATCCCCAGGTAATATTTAAATATTTTTTTAAAGATTTTATTCATTTATTTGAGAGAGAGAGAGAATGAGAGATAGAACACGAGAGGGAAGAGGGTCAGAGGGAGAAGCAGACTCCCCGCCGAGCAGGGAGCCCGATGCGGGACTCGATCCCGGGACTCCAGGATTGTGACCTGAGCCGAAGGCAGTCGCTTAACCAACTGAGCCACCCAGGCGCCCCCCGCTTTGGTAATTTTCAAAACTCTTTGATCTCCCATCCAGTCTTCTGCCTCGGGAGTTCAGAATTCAAACTTTTTCTCTGGCTTCTAGGTGAGTTACCTGGAGGCAGGCAGCCCAGCCAAGGAACAGGCCGCTTGGGAAGTCAGAAAAGGCCACAGGGACTCGCCTAATGAGTGGAAACAGTAGAGAGACTTGTGCCCTCCTGGGGGCCAAAAAGCACTTTTTTAGACTGCGAGAGAGCAGAAAAAAACTTTAGGTACTTGGCTCTATGGTCAATTTTTAAAATGCATTTAAACCAAAAATGTATTTTTTTTTTTTTAAAGAAATGATTTGGTTGATAATCTAAACAACGCTGAAAAGACCAACTGTACATGTATGTCACGTGACTCACAGGGCACAACTCTTCACAGTATTTCATCTTTCAGAAAATATTTTTTCTTCATTATTCTTTCTATGGAGAATACTGTTCATCCATTTGCTCAATACACATTTACTGAGAGCCTACTATGGGCTGGCGTGCTTTCGAAACCTAAGACAGTGAGCCACAGGTTGGAAGGGGTCCACCTTTGCTTCTGATTTATCTAACTCATTATGTGAACTACAGTTAAAAAACATGATTTTTTTTTCACCACAAAGTCAGAAAGGAGAGTAACACAAATAAAAACTACTGCAATTTGGCAAACGGAACAATGTAACTGGTATTTAATTTATGTCCTTCAAAGCCGGTAGATTAGTAATAATAATATATCTATAACATGCAATAGGATTTCTCAGTGTAGGCAATTAAATGCTTTCAAAAACAGTTTTCATTAACAGATACAACCAGTAGGGGTCATTTTAGTGCAAAAATTGCAACGAAAGAGACTTCAACATGATTAAAATACATCAGTTCCTAGTCACGTCAGTTATAATAATCGTGCTTTAGTGTGTGAATTTCTCAATAAAAATGCAAACTGAAGGAAAGACTAGCCATTGAGAAGTTTCGTGCAAACTAACAAAAAAGAGTCCGCACCTTCTAGGTAATTACTGACATTTAAAGACTCCTCTAATTTTATAAAAAGAAAAAAAAGGTTATCCTATGTTTTCCATAAATTTTGTAGTCAAATGAAAATACTTGAAATTTCAGACAGACGATTGACAGTATCTGTGTAAATCCAAACACTGTATCATGACAGGTAGCCATGTTCTTACTTTGGTTTAATGGATTTAGAATACAACTTGACGGCTGCTTTTAGCATTCTAAAAAGATTAGATAAAAAGAAATGCTAAGCGCCCAGTTTTGGCAACTGAAAACAGTCCTGCTAAATGAAAAGTGTCGCTAGAGAACGCTAATTGAGATATAATCACGGAAACAAGTACTTCCAAGCATCTTCGAGGCTAATACCAAGTGCATGGGGTGTTACCAGAAGAAATCAAACTAAGAGGGATCGCATCATTTCAGAGGAATGAAAAGCTCACGACAAACTGCCAAAATAACTCTATACCGTGATACTGGAAGACTGGTGCCAAAACACTCCATTCCCGTGCGAGCCCCCAGCTCCACATTTCCTTCACCAGCAGTACATTGAGAAGAAACAAAACAAGGGTCAGAATCGTTAAAACCTCCAAAAGTCCTTCTCAGAGCATAGCAGTTTCCACTGCAGTTACCCTTCTTTCATGTTGCTTGTTCTTTTTAGATTTATGGGAGGCTGGCTTAAGTAAATTATATACTCCAAGTGGCAGGGTTCAAAGATGCATCTTTGAGTCCAACTCATTCAGAATTCCCCAAATCAAACACATAAAATTGTATCAGAAGTTAATCTCCTGGCCATTTCTTCCTGATGTGAGAAATAAAAACACATGTATTAACATGGGACTTGACACGAGTTCAGAGGCTTTTGTGTTTCAGGCAAATAAACTCTTCTCGCCCAATGTCCTAAGGGTGCAGCAGGGCAGGGCCCCTTCCCTTTGAGAAGAGTTCCCTTCACTCCATACTGCCCACTAGCTTCCAAACCAGAAAAGCCTCCTTGATTTTCCAGAACTGTCCAAACTCTAAAAGGGATAAATGTGTGTGTATTTAAAGAAAATCACAGAATTGAAGTCTTTTAATAGACCCATTTTATCCTTAAGATTGCCACCTTCTTTTTCAGTACCTCGGCACGATAAATAAACACATGCACACAGAAGGATGCCTCAGAAGAAACCCTTCCCTGGTGTGCTGGGTCTGGCTGTGAGTGGTAAGGAAGGGCCCAGCTCAGAGAGCGACAGGTCGCTCCTCCTCGCCGCTCGTCCAGAAGGCAGCTGCTCTGCACCAGGATGCCCCGGAACAGCATCATCACCCCGACGTCAGCCCGAGCAGGGATCCCGCTTCTAACTGGTGCTCACCGAGTCCTGCCCAACAGCCAAATAAAAAGAACTCACTGCCCCTCTCTCTAGTCCCCAAACCTGACCAAGCACCCGGAGGCCGAGGCAGGCGGGCAGGGCTCAGGGCCGACACCCGCTCACAGGGGTCCACCCACCCAGCGGAGGCTCACTGCTCTAATCGCTTTCTCCCTCTGTCAGTCTCCACACCCAGGTGCACAATGCTTCGTGGAGAAAACAGAACAGCCTTCGCTGTCAAACAAACAGAAGGAACCGGCAACACGCTAGGAAACACGCGGATATCTGATCTCAAAAAAGCAGCCACGAATAGTCAGCAACAACTTTTCACTCCTAGGTGCAACACCCCCCCACCCCCCCGCCCCCATTCAGAAGAGCAAGCCTTTTGACTGTTTTCAATAGGCAAATAAATGAGTAACCACCGTATGTAACTTCCCCTGGGCTGACATATTCCGGAGCTGAAACTGATTTACATGCGAAGGAGGAGGAAGGGGATGAAGGAAGAGAACAAGGAAAAAATAATAAAAGAGTCACACAGGGAGCGTGAGCTGAAGACACGTCTCCTCGCCAACAGAAAAGGGACTTTCGAGATCGGTGTGCAGCACTCGGCAGCACACTGCGCTTGTGCGGGGAGGGCGGCAGGGGCCGGACTCCCCGAGGGGCTCGCGACAGCCTCCGCAGTGCCCCCTGCCCGCGGCGCCCCGTCCTCGGGGCGCGGGGCCCGCCCCACCCCCCGCAGTCCCAGCCCGAACAGCCACACGTGTGCGGGTCTCGGCGCGGCCACCCCCACCCGTCCGCCCCCACCCATGAAATCCACCCTAGCCCGAGGCCCGGCCAGCGTCCGGGGAAGCGGGCAAGCGGGAACCAGGGTACGCGGCGGCCCCCTCCTCCCGCGCAGCCCTCTCTCCTCGGGAAAGTCTCGGCCAAACTTTGTTCGGCGCAGCCAGGTGGGAGGGGGCCCGCGGCGGGCGGCCGTACCTTCGCATACGCCCACTTCGTACTCGGTGATGGAGTCGCCATTGAGCGGGGGGCGGATGACACAGCGCAGCCCCCGGTCGCAGGCTCCGTGGAGCCCGTAGGCGCCGCCGCAGCTCTCGTTCCTCTGCCGGGCGCACATGTAGCAGCAGCCGCAGACGCCCTGCACGATGCTCCCGGGGCAGCTCCTGGGCTCTTCGCACTTGGACTCGTCGCAGGGCAGGCAGACCAGCGCCCGGGTGCCGGAGCGCGCCAGCAGCAGCAGCAGCCAGACCAGGAGGTGCCCGCAGCCGGCCAGCCCCCTGCCCCCCGCCACCAAGTACATCCTCCTGCGCCGCCGCCGCCTCCTCCTCGCAGCCGGGCCGGGAGCGGGGCGGGCGTCCTCCCCTGCGCGGGGCACACGCGCCGCCGCCGCCGCACCCGCAGCCCGCGGTCCTCGCCGCCCCCCTCGGGGCCCCCGGGGCGCGCCTCCCCTCGCGGGGCGAGGCCCCCGCCCCCCGCTGCGGGCCGCGCCGACCCCGAGCCCACTAGCGTTGGCGCCAGCGGTGGCTTCCCTTCTTCCTCCTCCTCCCGGGAGGGAGGGGGGAAAAAGAAAAAAAGTTTCCTCCCGGCAGCTCCGGTTCAACCCAAACTTCTGGCGGCGGCGGCGGCGGTGGCGGCGGCTGCGCTGGGCTCCAGCCCCGGCTGGCGGCGCCTCTTCCCTCTCCTCCGGGTCGGCCGGCCCCGCGGCGGTGGTGGCGGCCGCGCAGCCTCCGGGCCGGTCCCCGCCTCCCGAGCCGCCGAGTGGGCGCGGTGGCGCAGCAGAAGGTCCGCGACGTCCACTCCGCGCGCCCCGCTCGCCTCACTCCTGCGCGGCTCCTCCGGGCGCTTGTTTATGGCTCGAGCCTCCGCCGCTCGGGCTGCGCCCTCCCCCATCCTACCTCATCCCCCAGACCTCGCCCCCCCCCCCGCGCGCCTCTCATTGGCTGCCCCCCCACCCCTCCCGGCCCGGCAGGCCCCCTCCCCCGCCCTCCCTCGCGGGCTGCCGGGTCCTTCCTCCCTCACACGCCTCCTCCTCCTCCTCTTCCTCCTCCTCCGCCTCCGCCTCCTCCTCTTCCTCCTCCCCCTCCGGCTCCTCCGGCTGGAGCCCGGCAAGCCGAGCAGTCCCTGAGGCCGAGCCTTCGCGCGCCTCCCTCGCCGGGGCTCTGCCGGCGCGCTGCGGCTTGGGCTCGGGGCGCACACCGCGGGCAGCGAGAGGCGCGGCGTGCCGGGCGTCCATAGGCTCCGCGGCCACCGTGGCTGTGGCCTGGGCGCCCCGAGGGCGAGCCGGCTGCCCCTACTGGGCCGCCTTTGAGTTCGGAGAGTGGCGGGGACCGCCGAAGCTCGGGGCCGAGGGGGTTGCTGCAGCCTTGGCTGGGGCACCCGCCGGATCCAAAGGGAAGCGAATGCACGGAAACCTCCGCAAATGGATGAGAATCCATCTTCCACTCGAGCTGGGGATAGACTTTGTGAAAGATATTATGTAATGGAGTCTCGGGAAGCTCGAGACGCCTCCAGCGAAGCTGCTGGTGAATTAATTAAGTGCTTTAAACGGTCTAGGTAAATATTCCGCAGGGGGTGGGGAGGATGGTTGAGGAGGGCTGTAGCTTGAGTTGAATTTTAACTGTCCACATCCTGTGTGTCTGGTCGCTCTGCCGTCTGTGCCGAGGTGCTATGTTATGGGAGGGGGTGAATGGAAAGTAGCAGAGCTGAATTTCTCTCCCTTGAGTAAGGCCAAATACTGGATTACTACAAGTCTTGACATGATTGGACCCGTGTTTCTCATGCATCATTAATGTCATCTGACGTTGCCCTGTTCTTTCCCAAGCTCCTGGACAGAAGTGATGGGTTTCCTTCTTTTCCCCCCTCCGTTTACTTGTTTATTGTAAATATACTGTAAATATATTAATAAAGAAGATGCGTGACAAATGTTATTTGTGAAAACCCTAGTGAAGAAGTAACTGAAGTGATGCAAAATGCGTTGTGCGGAGATTGTTTCTCTTCTCTGACTGTCAGAAAACGTTCTGGAAATGACAGGCTCTGTAATGACCCACCATTCACAGGATATGTACCAAGGTCAATAAAATTCGTGAATTAACAAAAAGTGACTTGCATCGTTGGGGGGGGGTGTGAAAAAATCAAGTCCTGTGGCAGATGTGAGGTGGGAATGGGCAGAGGACCTTCTGATCCAGAATAGTCTGGTTCCAGAAAGGTGGCAGCCAAGTGGATCCTGAAAATCGTGACTAATGAACCAAAAGTTAATAGCACAGAATTGTAAGGAGAAAGGAAACAAAGATGCCTTTGAAATCCTCTGTTTTTGGAACAAATTTATACTTACCATAAATGTTTTGGATTTAACCACTCCAATTCTGAACCAAAAAGCCAGAGTTAACCAGTGGAATATTCCCCAGTCACTGGCATCAGAAAACTAAATGTTTCTCCAATCGTTATTTCTTTGTCCTGAGGAGAGGAAGAGACTCATTAACTACTACTGATTATCAGTGGGTGACAGAGAAGATTTTCAACAATAGAAAGGGGGAATGAACATCCCATTTTCTAGAAGGGTCTAAAGAGCTGTTGGGATGACTAGTTTCCAAAGGTGTTGTAGAGACAATTCCTGTAGTTGTGTAGGTCAGGTTAGATGCCCTCTGAAAGACCTCATATCCTGAGGTTCTGCAATTATAACTGTTAGTGAAACCGTTTGAAATATGCTCGATTTTCTATTAGCAGAATTCAAGAAAGATAAAAACACACCACACTGTTAAACATGACTGTTGCTTGTATCCCAACAAGGCACCAGCACTTTGCTGTGGGATTTGCCAACAAACTGTCATCATTGTGCTGTGTTAAAAGGCCTTTGCCACTCTTGCAGAGAGGTTATCTATATTTCTGTTCAAATGCAAGTATAAAGACATTATTAAAATGTAGCAGATAACATTGTAGGACTCAACAGGAAAAGCCAAGGTCAGGTAGTGGAAAAAAAAAATGCAGGAGAAAGCCACTGTCAATTGAAAAAATAAGAATAATCATTCTCAAGGTCCTACTTTTGTGTTTGCGTTTTTTATTTTTTTAAGGCAATATATTAAGGGTTAGGGAAAGCTAGAGATTGAACACAAGCAAGGGACAATATGGAGGTCACCATCCATCTTTCCTGAGATTCCAGTGGAAGGTAGACAAACACAAGGTGATAAAGGCTGACTTCTCATGGGAATTCAAGTTAACCTTAGAAAGGACTGCAGAGATTCTTAAGACTAAGATGGATAGATCAACTTAGAAAATTCAACTTATATGGGGTCCTGTGCTATAGAATTCATAGAGAAGCAAAGGAGAAAACAGGAAGAGTTACATGAGGCCTGTAACTAGTAATAAATAAGCAGCCAGCAAGGGCCTGGCAACTTATCTGAAACCAGTGTGTGAACTAGGAGCTCAGTTATGAAAGAGCAGTTTCTTCCCTGGGACCCAGGAGGGACTCTTAGGTGGCCAGAAGCCAAGGCTGATATTGAGGCTCAAACAAAAGGATTCCCTCATCTTTAGAGACCAGAGTAAAGATCCAGAAGAAAGGACAGGTGGGCCCAACATGGTGACAATCGGGGGTCAAAGGAGAAAGTAGACTGGGAGGGGTAACATAGACTCTGGAAGTTCTATACAAATGAAAGAGATAGAGTCATACATGGAATATGGTCTAATGCCTCCTCCTCTGGGAAGTCTCTTGAGCTTATTCCCTGATCTATTCTATAACATTTTGTAACTACCTCTGCTTGTAGCATTTATCATGGTATATTATACAACTTTCTCTAAATAGGTCTGGACTCCATTAAATTGTCAGCTTATTGGGGGGGGAGGGCACATGACTCGTAAGAATGTACACACGCCTGAATGAGTTGATAGAGGGAAGAATTATAGGTAAAAAGATGTATGAACATTCTTGTCTGCAGCCTCTCTCTCTTGGTTTTAGTAAATGCCTCTAAAATAAGGCTTTGAAAGGGTGGTTGGACATAAAGGAGGCTTCCAAACTGGGGGTGGGGGGGTGGGTAGTGAACAAAACCAAATCCCACAGGTCTAAAAGGAAGGGGAGTTAGACTATACTTCTGATGGAGGTCTGGAAGAAGAGACAGTCCGCCCTCTATTGGCCATTGGGGGGGTTGGATGGGAGGGGTTTGCTAAAATGTTGAAAATGTCTAAAAATCAAATGCTCAGCTGGGGATATAGCAGAAAGTGGAAATAAGAGAGCAATAGACAGACCAGTGGTATTAGAGCCCTCCTCCTTGGTACGGTGCCTAGTTCGACCTCTCCACTCTAGTCACACTCTGGGATGTTTGTGTTATCCGGAAACGAAAAGAAAAATGTAGGAGTTGCCTTTTGAGTCTGAAAAACACACTCTTAGAACTGAATAGCACCAGAGAAAAAGTCTCATTGTTTTCTATTTTTTTAAAAGACTTTATTTATTATTTTTTCATGAGAGACAGAGAGAGAGAGAAGCAGAGGGAGAAGCAGGCTCCCCGCTGAGCAGGGAGCCTGATGCAGGACTTGATCCCGGGACCCTGGGATCATGACCTGAGCTGAAGGCAGATGCTTAACCATCTGAGCAGCCCAGGCGCCCAAGTCTCATTGTTTTCTAAAGATGTTGCATACATAGTAGAAAGATCTATGAAGAAACCAGGACAAGAAACCTGCTCTTTTCCCCTCTCCCCGCCATGGCTCTTGCCAACCTCAGCTGGGCTCACCTTGGGCTTGGACCCTGTCAGTGGCAGGGAAACCCCTGGTTTGGAGGCTCAGCCATCTGATCTTGGGCTCTGGATCTGGTACTTGGGCTAGATTATCACCACCTAGTACCTAATTTTACTGAGGCAGTTCCTGTCTTTTCTACCCTGCTTGTGTACAGCAGCTACTCTGGACGTACTAGAACGCAGGAAGGCACGTGCACAACACAGGTTCTCTCTCTCGCTGTTTACATATGTTTGAACAAGGTATTTATCCTTTCTGAATCAGTTTCTCCGTTGTAAAATGTAGACAAATTTGAATACCAACCACACAGGGTATAGTATGGATAAAACGGGTGTTCTTTTATATTATTTTTGGACTCCTTCTCATTGTCTGTTGTTATTTTTGGAGTCCTTCTCATTGAGCATCTCCTCAAGTTTTAGGCTGGAGCGAGAATCCCTGCTATGTGATATCCCAGTACCTACTGCCGTGTAGCATCTACCTGATCAGGCATTCACCTTTTCCCACCCTTCTTATGGATCTTCCTGTTGGTCCCACTTTGGCAGTCTGTCTAGCCCTGGCGTTGTAGCCTTTGTAATATTTTCTTGGACCTATTCCAGTCTTATTTTAAAGGTTAGTTCATTAATAATATTTCAAAGGGTATATCATTAATAATAATGATAATAATAGTAATAGCTAACCTTTGTAGAGTGCCTGCTAATAAGCTCTTCACAAGGGTTATTTTAATTAATGTACAGAATAGCCTTATATGACCTCCAATGCCTAAATGCTGTCTCCACTTTATAGTTAAGGAATCTGAGGCACAGAAGGCTGTGTGGCTTGCAAGGTCTTAGAACTCTGTGGATGGCTATTGAGTCTGGAAACCAGTCCTATTATACCATCAGAGCCTGTGTATATCACTGTCTCAGGCAGGAAGTTGGGAAAGGTAAATTGCTTTTCTTTTCAGTTTTATTGTTTTTTGTGGACCCACCTTAAAATTAACATCTGCCACAAGATCTTGCCTTCTTTGTTAATTTGCATATGAAAACTTAAAATAGCCATTAGGTGCTTTTCTCAGAATAGAAATAGCTTCATTGTTTTCCTAATTATTGAATAAGAAACATTTATGAAGTATTTACAATGTGTATATTTGCTCATTACCTGAGTATATTATCATGACTAGTCTTCACTATAGC